TTTATCTTGCCATAAAGCTGGCCACTTTATTTTTTCCCATGACGAAGCCTGAGAGGTATGGGCTGGTTGCTTTGCCCTTGCCATCACCTCCCCCTCCCTGTCCTCTGTGTGGCATCTGTCACCAACATCTTGCAGATCCATCGTTACAGTGCCCCTGACAACCACCTCTTTCGTCCGTGCCCAGCACGTCCTGTGTAGGGCCCTCATTGCCCTCGGCCAGGACCGGTACAATCGCCGCCTAACGGGTCCCTTGTCTCCATCCTTCACAGAGTTGTCAGATCGATCTTCCTGGAACACCATTCTTGTCATGTCATTTGCCTGCTCAAAAACCTTCAGTGGCTCCTAGGGGACCAAGCGCAAAGCCTGCAATGCTTGTCCTCACTGTATATCCCAATTGGGCCTTCCAGACCCTCTCACTCCAAGCCCTGCCCACCGGTGTGCTTGGCTCCTCCCAACTCAAACCTTTCTTACCTCTGTGGGCTTGTTTATGCTGCCTTCTTCCCAGACTGCCCTCCTCGGTGCTCAGCCTGGTCCAGCTCAGATCCTGCCTCTCCTGCAAGCCCTCACGAAACTCAGTGGCAGTAACTCTACCTTTCACTCAGCCCCAGTGTGCCCTGGGGTTGGTCACTCTTTTTTTCATGGGTATCTGACCCAGTTCTATCTGTTCATGCTTCCATGGAGGGTGCATTCCCCACAGCCCTGGCACGGTGCTGGGGGCAGAGAAGGGATCGATAAATTTGTGTCTGTTAATTGACTGGGGAAGGGCCTGGGTCAGCTGCTGTCCTATGGCATCGCCGCTTGCCAGGTCCGTGGTTCCCGACATGTCTTAGTTGGCACCTTCTTCTTTTTACTCTGGTGGTTGTTTTATTTTAGTCTCTAGATCCAAGGGAACCGTCAGCCCTCCCTCCACCAAAGAAAGGGAAGAGATGAGATGTGTGGGGAGCAGCACAAGTCTGGTCAGTGAGCTCTGCAGCTAATGCATGCATGTGTGTGCAAACCGGGCCAGACTCAGCCCTCTCTCCGATTAGTCCTTCTTCCATCTCTCCACTTCCCTACCGCTCTTGCTCTCCAGAGAGCCCATCCCACAAGATAAGATGGGTAGGCAGGCCTAGAGAGAGGAAGGAAAGGAAAGAAATGAAAGCCCCACCTGCCCTGTTCCTGCTCCTGCACATGACACTCCTGGAGCTGCGGTGGTGAAGGGCTGTCTTGGGTGGACTTGAGGCTCCCCTGCTGGTGAGCTCAGGAACAGCGGGGAAGGGCCCTGGACGATGGTGTGAAGGATACAGTATCTGAAGGTCTGGAACCTGTGTCAGGTAGCCTAGCGCTTTTGTTCACACCTGCTGGCCCTCCTTTCTCCCATGACTCCCTCTTGCAAGGTCTCTTAGGCTTGATCCTCTACCAAGAAGTCTCCATTTCCCTCAAACTCCTATAGCTTTTTTCTCTCTGCTTCTTCGTGGTTGTCACTTAGGTTTTATGCCTTATCATGGGTTCCCAATTGCTCTGGATTCAGGGGAAAGAGGCGACGTTTCATGAGCAGCCACCTAGGAACCAGGTGTTTGATTAGTTGCTGTGTACCATATCTCATCTAATCTCTGCAAGGTTAAGTGTTTCTAAAAATCCCCATTTTACAGCCTAGACAATGGACTCAGCTAGATTAAGTTCCTTATGACTAGTAGGTGTTCATCTGTGATTCTTCTGCAGATCCTGGCACGGGGGTGGAGGTGGGGTAGGGGGTGGGATAGGAACGGGATGGGGGTAGGGAGGGGGCGCTTACACGTACCAGATGCTCAGAAAATATCTATGTGACATTTGGACTCTGCCATATCTCAGGGCAGCTCAGGCTGAGGGGTGGGGTTGGTACAGGAGAGTAAAGTGGGAGGAGCTTGTGTGGACAGGAGGAAAGACAGGGCCCAAGGGCAGAGTGCTCCAGAGCCACAACAGGATGAATGTTGGTCTGCTTGGGATGTCTGGGTGACCCCGAGTCCCTGAAGGGCCTCAGCCAGTCACTGCCTGCTGCCAGCCTCTCCCCCACCAGGAGAAATTAGTGGGAGCCACCCCTGGGGGAGGGACATCTGGGCCATCGGAAGGTCCCAGAAGCAGGGGAGGGGAGGGAGAAACTGCCTATAGCACAGGCTCCCAGCCTCTGGTCCACGACTACTCAGCAGTGTGATTCCTGCTGGGATCCAATCCTTTAGCCCACACTTTCCTGAATTTTTTGAAGCCGGTTCCTTAGGTCACCTAATGTTTGGGAAGAAGCGGGGAGACCCTGGCAGATAAACTCATTTCCTAGAACCTGAGAGGAATAACAGGAGGGCAGCCCGAACGGGGCTCTCCCCAGCTCCACTCCCCAATTCTCTCTTGGCAGGTCCAACTGGAACAGGCTGAGACCGCGCCTCCAGAACACCTTTCAATGGCCCGGGACCAAGGAGAGCGAGGGCCGACGCCCCAGGGCGCGCCCAGCGGGAAGAGGCGCTCGGAGGGACCTGCGCCAGGAGCTCCCCGGGCCAGGGAAGCCGCGCTCCCGTCAATCCGCAAGATGGAAGTTGTTCCCTCTAGCTTTCCCGCTAGCGGAGGCTGCTGGTTTTGTGAGCGACCCCTCCCTTCGCGGCCAGATCTATTTCTAGCACTTACTCTTGCTCATTTAAAAAATACAGCCTAGCCGAAGCCGGTTTGGCTCAGTGGTAGAGCGTCGGCCTGCGGACTGAAAGATCCCGGGTTCGATTCCGGTCGGGGGCATGTACGTTGGCTGCGGGCACATCCCCGGGTAGGGGATGTGCAGGAGGCGGCTGGTCGATGTTTCTCTCTCATCGACGTTTCTGGCTCTCTATCTCCCTCCCTTCCTCTCTGTAAAAAAATCAATAAAATATATTTAAAAAAATGCATCCTAAAAGGTACCGCCAAACTGCACCCTGGATCGAGCTCAGATCCCATTTTGGATAAGGCGGAAAGTTTACGAGGCACTGCGCGTACCCCACCGCTGCACACGGGGCACGCGCCGGGCTGCACGGAGGCATGCGTGCGCCGGGGCCCAGGGATGCAGGCGGCGCCCACCTCGCTGAGGATGTGTCCGGAGGGAGCGGGAAACGGGGTGCCCGGCGTGCGCGGTTGCGTGCCTCCGCCGCCTCGCCCTTCCTGCCGGAGCGTGTCTGCAATCGCCCATCTCTCCTCCAGCCCTTTCCCAGCCCGACGCTTCCTTTTTGGTGTTTCTGCGCGTTTGTTGTAAATTCTGTGCCTAAAACAAGCCGGTAAGCCCGGCCCATCCACAGATGGATCAATCGCACCCTTCCCGGCTCGGGGAAGGGGACCCCACCTGGAGCCTGGGAACCGGGATGCTGCCGGCTGCCTCGGGAGAGAGCTACCTACAACCCAGCCAGCCAGCCGCCGAGCGCGGGCAGCGAGCCTGGCGCCGAGTCCTGGCCGGGGCGGTCTCGGGGAGCTCCGGCCGGCCGGGGTGGGGTGCCAGTCCTCGCCTGACTTCCTCGGCGCGGTTCGGGCAGGTTCGTCGGCCTCGGAGCAGCAGCCTTCCGCCCGCGCCGGGGAGGGGAGACACGGGGGAAGGGTCTCCAAGGGCTGCGGCGATGAGTGTGCGAGGGGCGAGCGCGCTGCGGGCAGGCGGGGAAAGTTCTCGAGCTCCGCGTGGGGATCACACGAGTGTGCGTGCGAGGGGCTAGATCGCGGTTGGCGCTCTAAGGGGGGGGGGCGGCTTCTTTTCCTCCCTGCGCCTTCGGGGAGACGCCTGGTTTCGGTTCCCTGGCCAAGGACGCATCCGCCTGCCGAGGGCGCAGCCTCTTCCCCAGACCCAGGCCCCCAGGGTGGGCTTTCCCTAGCGCCCCTCCCCCAGTCCCTGGGGGGCTCGAGCGCCCTGGACTCCGAGCCCTCCTCCTACACTCTCCCTCCCCGCGCGTCCTGGAACCGTGGCCGAGTGGGCGGGGCAGGAGCCCCCGGGGTTGGAGGGCGAAGCCTGCCCCAGAGGCGTGGGGTGGGGCGCGCGAGGGGTCGGGCGCGGAGGTGGTGGTGGGGGTTTGCACCGCAGCCCGGAGCCGGTCAGTATCCGGCTCGGGCGGCAGGTCAGTCCGAGGCAGGGCAGGGGGCCGAGCTCTCCTCTCCGCCCGCGTTCCCGGCGCCGCCGCCGCGGCGGCAGAGGGTGGCTGCTCCGCCGCGCGCCCGCGCCCCGCGCCGCCAGCCGCCCGGGAGCCGGAGCGCCGAGCCTGGGGCGGAGGAGAGGGGCGCGGGCGCGAGAGCCGCGGCGAGGGAGCCGCGAAGGGGGAAGGGGGCGGGCGGAGGGAGGAGCGGGAGAGAGGGGGAGGGGGAGAGGGAGGGAGAGGCGAGCGAGCGAGAGCCAGAGCCCGAGCGGAGCGGGAGGGAAAGGGAGGAAGGCGGGCGCACGCCGAGGCTCGGGCGCCGACATTCCATTAGGAGAAAAGTGAGCCGGCCGAGGAGCAGCGGGAGAAGGTGGTATTTTTGAACATTTCCCTCGTCTGGAGCTAAAGAAGCGACTCGGGTCTCTGCGCCCTCCAAGCTCCCGCTGGATCTCTCCCTGGCGCTTCCCCACGTCGGTGGATTGCTCTCCTGTTTGCGTTTTATTCTGACCCCCGCCCTCGTCGCTGCCTTCCCACCGCCCGCTCTCCCGCCGCCTCTCCCCCGCCTCCCCAGGCCCCTCCGGAGGAGCCCGGGCATCGGACCGCGGGGACCCGCGCCCCGGGCCGGCTGAGCGCAGGACCGCTGTCGGCTGGGGAGCGGCATCCACAGACACACCTGTGTGTCCATCCTAGCGGGCGAGGGGCGTCCGGAGGGCCCGCCGCCCCCCGTCTCCACCCCCTCCGGCCAGGGGCGAGGATCGCAGGACTCCGGATCGCTCCACCGGGTGGACTCGCTGGGATCGCCGCCTTGGATTCGGGGCTGATGATCGCTGCTGGGTTATAGTATTGTCATTTTTATTTTATTATTTTTTTTACCCAAGGGAAAAAGACAAAAACACAAAACTGTGGGATTTATCTAACATGATCTTGGCAAACGCCTTCTGCCTCCTCTTCTTTCTAGGTGAGTACCTTAGAGCGGCGAGGGCGGCGAGCGGGTCCGCGGGAGCCAGGGGGCCTCCCGGGCGGGCGGCGCGTTCGGGTGCCCGCGAGCAGCCGGGGACGCGGGGGACGTGCGGGGCGCCTGGCGGGGCGACCGGCGGGAGAGCGCGCCGTGGAGCGAGCTGGCCAGGCGCTGCCCGCCCAGCCGGGGCCGGGCGCGAGCCGTGGCTGACTGGTTAGGGCGGGGATTAAGAAGGAGACTTAGAACACCCAAGGCATCCCAGTGTGTTCGTTTTCTCTCTCTCTCTCTCTCTCTCTCTCTCTCTCTCTCTCTCTCTCTCTCTCTCTCTCTCCCTCCCTCCCTCCCTCCCTCCCTCCCTCCCTCCCTCCCTCCCTCCCTCCTTCACACAATGATGTACTCATTTCCCTCAAAATAATGGGTTCAAATTGCGGCAACTTCAGGAAAAAAAAACCCCAAACCCACACATTACTGGCCCCCCCAACTCTTGATCTGGAAGAGAGGAGGAAGGAGAAAGGCTCACTATGGGGAGAGAAACCCAGGGTCCCCCTTTCCAGGCTCCCAGAATGGATTGTGGGGGAGCCCATGGGTTTCTCCAGGAGCTCCTCATTGGACTTGTGTGGGTGGGGGGCGCTGGCAGCCCCCCCCCCCACCTGCCAGTCAACCTCTGGAAAATGCACTCCATTTCCAGCACCCTGAACCCCTTTCCGCAGCTCTGATCCCTGGAAGACTTTTCAAGTTTCTGCCCACCCTTTGCCCTCCCTGTGGCCCAGGCCCTACCTGATGGGTAGGCAAGAGTGGAGGGGCTGTGAGCCCTGCTCACTGCTTGCCTTCCTTACCCCTAGGGGCCAGGGACCCTGTAGCTAGCTGGTGGGAAGGGAAGGAGGCCAAAGTTTGCTTCCTTGGGCGATGGAGGAGAGAGGGGTGATGGCAAAACCAGATCTGAACTAAGATCACTACTCATCCTGTAAGCCCCCTTCCCCAGGGGCAGGGAGGGGGGCTGCCTGGTAACTCTGACCCTAGGCAGCCTCATTCCCACCCAGAATTCCCAACCCTCACCCCTTTCATGCTATGTGGCGCCTCGGCTGCCTGGGAGGTGGGTGGAGAGAGAGCATTCTGGGAGTGGAGGTGAGGAAGAGAGGGTGTTTGCAAGTGCTGACTGGGAGTCCCAGGCAAGGCTGTCCAGAGCAGGTGCTCCAGGAGGGAGCTGGTGACGTGTGTGTGTGTGTGTGTGTGTGTGTGTGTGTGTGTGTGAGAGAGAGAGAGAGAGAGAGAGAGAAATATTTGCTTCAGGGTGGGTGCTATTCCTGCCACCCTGGCCTGCTGTGTGGCTGGTGGTGAGCCAGGCTGCCTGGCTGGGCCAGCAGTGCACCCTGTCCCTCCAGAAGGAGTGGCGAGAGGAGGCCTTGGAGGTGGGTGCTGGTCTCGGAAAGATGTGGGTGGTCCAAGGGCCTCCTGACCAGGACAGGGGATTCCAGTCAAGACTGGCCCTGGGCCTTTTGTCCACCTGTCTTCCTCCCCTCCCCCAGTGTGGGTTTCCCAGGGGGCTTGGCCCTGCTCTAGGGTGTGGCCTTCCCCTTTCTTTGGCCCAAATCAGAGACAGCACCTCTCCAGATTGGAGGGGCTGAGGGAGGAAGCTGGGTGGCTGCTCTGGGCTCTCGGGAGGTCCTGCAGCCAGTCCTCGCAACCCTCTGCAAGGGGATTCTCTTTCGGAAGAGGCTGTTCTAAGACCTGACCTTTCTCCCCACTGTTTTGAAAAGCCAGCTTTCTGGGACTAACAAGAAAAGAAAATTAGATTGCTCACACACCCCAGGCCCGCAGGACTCCCAGGCATAGGCACGCTGAGGTCCGGAGTGGAGCAGGGCAGATAGGACCCTCAGGCATCTCCAGGCCCAGACCCCATGTTGTAGGCAGGCCTTTCCCAGCGGAGAGGGCTGCTGAGGTGACTGTTCTCATGGTGTGTGTGTGGGGGTGTGGGTATGAGGGTGTGCTGGTCAGAGATGCCCACCCTGGTGCCTGCGACCCGGAGGCTCAGTGGTGAGAGGAGGGTGAGAGCCGTGAGAGCTGTATTTGGTCAGAGACAAAGCTCCTGTCCCCAGAGAAGCCCCTTTCCAGTGCTGGGCAAGGGGTTAACGGAGTGACCACAGAACATTGCAAAGGTCTGGGTGGGGCCAGTGAAGAAGGAAGGGACAGGCTGGTGCTGGGAATGGGGCCCTCAGCTGGGAGTTGGTTGGAAATTCCACTTGGGGGAGAGGTATCCCTGGAGCTTTGGTTGGGAGGATGTTCCCAGGAGTGGGGCCTTCCACGTGCCCTCCCAAGGTTCCGAGTGAGGTCTGGAGGTGGGGAGGCCTTGGGGTCCAGCCAACCTGCTCTCCTGTGCTGACATTCCCAGGGAGATGTGTGATGGGGAAAGCCACTTGGGGGGCGGGGTCTGGTCGGAGGGCCAACTTTACACTGACAACTCCTGTCTGATGGGTACCAGATGCAGCAGAGTGCTGTAGCTCTGTCCCCTGTGCTTCTAGAAGCTCTCCCCACACCTCTTTTCTTGACGGATCCGATCTAGAACTTGGGCACGCCACCAGGATACCTTCTGACCTTTAGATTTTCCTAGAATTCTTGGCCCTGCGTTGACATGATTTCCTTCTCTGGCCGGGCTTGATTGCTTCCGGGGATCATGACGTCAACAAGAGGAGTCAGGGACAGGTGACAGTCAGGCAGTCTGTGAAAGGGTCGCACCTGGCCTCTGCTGGGCATCTCCCACCCACCTGGGCACAAGTGCTCGCTGGCTGGATGGGGAAGCCCTTGCTTTTGACAGAGCCGGGATTCTGTAAGGATCGTCCCTGGAGCTCTAGACCCCAATTGTAAGGCAGGCAGGGTCAGTGTCCTTATTGCCCCGATCCCTTGGGCCTGTGTCCTGATCAGCACGCCTGTGAAGGTGCCCCTTTCTCCGTGCACTTCCGATACAGTCAAGGTGGGAGGGGAGGAACCTGCTGGGACGCTGGGTTGAAGATCAAAGTCAGTGGAAGGCCAAGGGCTGGGTTGGTCTTAAGGCTCCAGCTGGCTGGCTGGCTAGGTGGGGGCAGCAGGTGCAAGGGAGGCTGGGTCAGCTCAGCTGCTCCTGGGTGGCCCAGATGCACCGAGTCCTGCTCAGGGATCTAGGCATTTTGCTGAGGCCAGGAAATACAGCAGATGCCCCACTCTCTAGCCAACACTCCATGCTGCTTTCTTCTCTCATCTGTCTCAGCCTTCAGCTCTTCCTGTCCTGAGGCACAAGTGTGGTCAGTGGGCGGAGGAAATGCCTATCATTCTTGCCCTAGAGGCTTCTCCTTTGCAGGCCCACCCTCTGCTCCTCTTCTGGGCTGGTGGGTAGGCCTGGTCCCTCCAGGAGTGGGTTCCTCTCCCTTCAGAGGCTCTGTCAGGAGGAACCGGCTCTCAGTGCAGCACTCTGCCTCTAGGTGTCGCTGTCTCCCTGCGGTAGCTGCCCCCTGAGCCGGGCCTCCTGCGGGAGTGAGACATGGCAGTTCTGGGTAGAGATGGGGGATTCTTCCGGATATTGAGGAGGGGATTTCTGGCCAAGGATCATCTTATGTCTTGTGGCCGGATGGAATTGGAGGAAGCCTCCCAGATCACGGCTTGGATCTTGGAAAAGGCAGTCTGGGCTCTGGGCCATGCTATGGGCATTTTCTGGAGCAGGATCTGAAGTGCAGGGCTTAGGGAGGACAGGAGACCAGCAGGATGTCTGTGGTAGGTGGAGCCATGTTAGGCGCTGGATATTGAAGGTTCTTGCCCTTCACCTCCGAATCTTCTTCCCTGACGCCCTCTCTCCCAAGGATTATGGGTGTGGACCCTCTGGGCTGTGGATAGAAGCGGGACCTCAGCTTCCTGCCTGTTTACTTTTGCAGAAGCTGGGCTCCACTTGTGAGACGGGGGCCGAGGAGGGACCTACTTCCCCTTTTGCATTTGGCTGATCATTTGGGTTTTTGAAAGAAAGGGGGAGAGGGTTTGAGAGGAAAGAGAGAAATAGAAGAAAGAGGGAGGAAATGATTTGCGTAGAGCATTTTTCGGAGGGGCTGGGGTGTAGATGGTCCTGGGAAGGCACCATTTTGGGTCTTGGCAGCTGTGAAGTGGCCTGGGCGAGTGGAGGCTGGGCTGGAAAGGGACGCACCTTAGAGCTCAGGATCAGTCCTGTTTCCCATTCTCTTTCTCTCTTCTTAAAATGCTTTTTTGTTGTTGTTGAAATTTTCAATTACAGAACTCAGAATGAATAGGCTGGGTGGGGGGTGGGGGGGTAGGGGGTGGGAGGTGGAGAGTCCAAGAAGCCTTTTCAGCCTGTGTGTGATCTTCAGTTGTCATCTCCATTTTCTGGGCCTCAGTTTCCCCAGGGTAACATCTGGGGGCTGGACTCTGTGGTGTCAGAGGTCCTAACAGGCTATGAAAGTTAAATTGCTTTCTCTGCATACACGGCATAACCAGTGCTGGGGTGGGCCTCTGGCTGGAACTGAAGCTGGTAGGAGGCCTGGAGGGTACAAATGGGATCCCCTCTGCACACCCCAGCAGGCCCTGCAGCCCCGGCTCTCTATCACATTATTCGTTGGGCTTCTGGCATGGGCCTTGCTGGAGGGCCTTCTGGCTGGCCCAGTGCTGAGGGTGACCGGGTGGAGCCAGCGGAGGATCCTACAGAGCCAGGGCAGAGGGCAGCTGAGTTCTCCATGGGGTTGGAGGAGGGATGTTGGTGACTTAGGACCAGTAGCCGCCGCTCTGTCGGGAGGTGGCATTGAGCGGGCCTTGCTGTGCTTCGGAGTCAGTGGGTGTGACTTCCAGAGGGGCCTGGCCGGCCCTCAGCCCTGCATCTTGTGTGGGAGACTGTGGTGGCCTCACTCATGCTTGTCTTCCCTCCCCACCACCCAGACGAGACCCTCCGCTCTTTGGCCAGCCCTTCCTCCCTGCAGGGCCCCGAGCTGCACGGCTGGCGCCCCCCGGTGGACTGTGTCCGGGCCAATGAGCTGTGTGCCGCCGAGTCCAACTGCAGCTCCCGCTACCGCACGCTTCGGCAGTGCCTGGCCGGCAGGGACCGCAACACCATGCTGGCCAACAAGGAGTGCCAGGCAGCCCTGGAGGTTCTGCAGGAGAGCCCGCTGTATGACTGCCGCTGCAAGCGGGGCATGAAGAAGGAGCTGCAGTGCCTGCAGATCTACTGGAGCATCCACCTGGGGCTGACCGAGGGTAAGCCTGGGTGTGGCGGAGGTGGTGAGGGGGCTGGGGGCCCAGGTCCAGGGGCAGGACCGGGTAATGGAGCCTGTAAGTGGCCAGGTCCTTAGCCCTCCTCGCTGGGGGAAACATGAACCCAGAAGATGTAGCCTCCGGACCTGGGAGGGAGCTGAAGAGGAGAGAAGGCAGGGTGGTGGGTGGAGAACAAGGCTGGATCAGGGGAACAAACCAGGGACAGAAGGACCTATGACCATCCGAAGGGGTCACTGGAGAAGGTGAGATAAGAGTCTCAGGCAACGGAGGAGTGAGAACAGGACAGAGAGATGGACTGGCCGTGTGCTTACAGAGCTGAGCTGCGAGCACACCAGCTCCTGCCACTCCCACTGCCTGGGCACCCAGTGAGGGCTGCCCGTTCCTGCTCTCCCTGCTCCTAGGAGTTCCATCTTCAGTGGCTCCTGACCCCGTGGCTGGCTTAGGCACCTTCTGCAGGGCTTGGAGCAGGTCCATATTCCTCAGTAGGCCTGCCCCCAAGTCCCCAGGTAGAACCTGTAACCCCCCCCCCCCCCAAGGTCTACCTCCCTCATGTCCTCCCCCTGCAGACAGAAGGGAGGCGGATTTGCATATATTGCAGGAAGGTGGCCACCTGGGTCAGTCGTTCATTTATTAATCCAACAACTGTTTTCTGAGAGCTTACCACCCGATAGGCATTGTGGACGGGCAGGTGCAGAAAAGTGAGGGCTTTCTGTCCTTTGGGGTGTGAGTGCTGTGGGAAGTCCCAGTCGCTGTGGGAGTACTGAGGAGGGGCAGCTAACCTTTTGCTACCAAACCTTGAGAGCCTTCCTGGAGGAGGCAGCCTTGCAGCTGAGACTAAAGAGTGAGCTGCAGTTACAGAATGAAGAGTGAGCTGCAGTTACAGAGTGTGGGAGGTGCCGGGAGGGCTGGGCAAAGGTGGCATGGGAGGGAGGCTGAAGGGCGTATGGACCCACAGGTGACAGTATGCGGAGGGGGCGTGGGGAGTGGGTGGGGTGAGGAGAGGTGGAGGGTACCCTTCTTCTGGGCAGCAGGGTGCCTGGACTGTGCTGGTGAGACCACCCTTGCGCTCTGCATCAGGACCACGCTCATGTGGTTTCATGAAGCGCAGACTGAGAGACTGCAAGGCGCTGTGTGACACAGGCCCGGGGTCATGGTGGCCGAGCGAAGACAGGGCAGGAAGGAGGAGCTAAGGGCTGTTCAGGAGGCCGAACCCACAGGGGTTCGGGAAGGGAGCGAAGAGTCAAGGAGGTCGCCCAGTTTCTGTCTTGGGAGACTGGTGGGTGGGGGGTCCGGGTGGCAAGAAGAAGTGAAGGTGTTGAGTGGGGGGAGGGCAGGGAGATGATGGATATTTGGGGGCGTGTGCCTCTCCTTGGCCATGCCCTGCGGACAACTGGCTGTGCAGGGCTGGAGCTCAGGTGGCAGAGATTTTGGAATCGCCATGAGCCTGTAGATGGGAACCAGGCCAAGGGAGGGGGCGCCATCTCCATGGGAGGACCAGCAACATTTCAAGATGTGTGGGGAGGGAGGGGGGCCGGCGAGGGTGATGGAGGAGGCGGGGGATGGGTGGTGGGAGGGGGATAGGCAAGGGGCAGCAGAAGACCAGGGAGGAGCTCCCTCTCGGAAGGAGGACCGTACCAGCCTCCAGCACATTAAGTCCAGCAGCCAGTGGGCGGGAAAGGGACCCATGGGCCCTGGGGTGAGCTTCTTAGGTGGCTGCTGGGAGCACACATCTGGTTAGGGAGTGAGTGGGAGCTGGGAGTTACGGGTGATGAATGTGGACCAGCAGCTCTTAGACTTGGTGTGAAAAGGATAGAAGAACAAAGGACGACTTATTTTTTTTAAGATGCAAGAAGGTTGGGCAGTTTAAATTCTAAGGCAGGGCAATGTGAGGGAGATGCGAGGTGAAGGAGAGAGGGGAGCTCTGTGGATAGTGCCTGGGAAAGGGGAGGAGTGGGTCCAGGGCCTGGGAGGAGTTAGTGTTAAAGGAGCAATCCACGTCCAGGTGCTGGAAGGAAGGAGACAGATCAGAGGCCGGATATCGAGGGGTTCCTGACCAGTGGCCAAGGTAGTTCAATGCTGCCCCAAATATAGCGGTAAGCTGTCCCTGTAATTATTATTAGCACCAGCACCACTCACCACAGAGCGATTCCTTGTGAATCAGGTGGCCATTCCTCCATTTCTAGCTACCTTGAGTTCTAGAACTAGGAGTGGGGCCGACGCACTGTGCTCTCTGAGAGACAGGGGCTCAGCCAAGGGTTCGGCAAGCCTGAGCAGGGGCGACGAAGGATGGAGAAATGATAGACAAAGAGAAAAAGCTGGGTCCGGGTCGATCTTCTGTGCCAGACTGCAGGCTTAGGCTTCACTTATAATCAGGGACAAACAAGGTAATTTACAATGTTCTTAAAAGTTTCACTTGTTTTGGCAGCACTTGTTGCCCCTCCCACAGCCCACTAGCTTCCCAGGAGAGATCTAGGGAGCAGTTACAAGATCAAGCTTAATTATGCTTTGAGGTCTGTGCCCTCCAAGCTGGGATTTGTTTGTGACTTTGCCAGCAGGTCAGTCGAGGCTTAACCCCATAACCATTTCCTACTCTAGCGCACAGAAGACCAAGGTCCCTGATTTGGTGAGCTGGGTCCTTTAATTTCTTGTTTCATTTCCAGCGGCCTTCCAGTTCAATCCCAGAGAGACTGGCAGTGGGTCGGGTGGGTGCTGCAGGACTCACGGGGAAGGGGACAGAACTGCCTGCAGAAGAGCCAGGTGGGCTGCCCAAGGCCTTCCCAGCGAGGGGCTCCCTTTGGGAGGGAGCTGGGCCCTGAGGTGTCTGGAGGTAACAATAAGCATGCCACATGTTTATATTGCAGACTGCCCTGCGGTCTTCCAGGTTCTTTTGACCCAGGAATGTCTGGCTGGAGACAGCTCGCTTCCAAATCTTGAGCTGCTGATGGTTTATTTATTCAGTGAACATCTGTTAAGCGCCTACTGTGTGCTTCAGAGGGTGACAGAAGCCACAGTCAGTCCCTGTGCCTGGTCCCTATGCCAGCCAGCCAGCCAGCCAGCCAGCTGGCATAGGGGCTGAGAGACCCTTCCCCTGGGCCCACTCTAGAAAAGCAGACCCCATGCTTGTCTCATTCCTCAGAACCCAGTCCCCTCCAGCGCCCCCCTCCTCCTGCAGGATTCTATAATCTACCCCCTCCCCCCCGGGGTATTGGGGCCCAGAGGTAGTTTCTGCTGAGAGCTGACCATGGGAAGCCTGGAGGGCTTTCAAGGGCTGGTAATGCTCCTGTGAGTAAGAGGAATGAGAGGATCTACCTGACAGTTAATTATTCATGGTGTGGGGGAAGTGGTCCCCTGAGTACCTCCTCCCTGTTGCTGATAACATTGACTAACCTGGCTCGGCCCCTGGGGTGGGTGGGCGGATTGAGAGGGGAGAGGCCCGTGCAGGTCTGGACTCTGGTTCTTGTCTTCTCCTTGGCCCTGCAGGGGGTGAGAGTTCTCTGGAGACTTGGCCCTCCTCCTCCCTCTGCCCGAGGCCCAGGTCCTCCGCCAGTGGTGGTGGCAGGAATGTGGCCTCTGCTGAGCTCCTAGAGAGGGGATGGGGACCTTTTTCCTGCCAAGGGCCGTTGGGATATTTATAACATCATTCGCAGGCCATGCACAATTATCAGCTCGCACATCAGCCTGCTATATTTGGTCAAACATTTAATCAACTCCCCCTAAGGCCTTGGTGAGTTGATTGAATGTTTAAAACCAGGGCCAGCCCAAAGGGTTTCTCGGGTCTTACACTGCCCATGGGCTGGACGTTCCCCACCCCTGTCTAGAGAGTTCCATCCCCTAGGGAGATTCAGCCCCACAACCGTTTTGGTGGGGAAGCTGATGTGCAGAGAGGAGAGGTGTACCCAGGGCACACAGCCAGCTAGAGGGGCAGGCCTGACTCCTTATGCAGCCCCTTTGCAGTGCCCGGGAGGTCCTGTGGCCTTGGGCCTGTCCTCCTTCCCATCACCATCACCACCACCATCACCACCACGATCACCACCACCACCAACACCAACACCACTGCCATCACCACCACCACCACCATCACCACCATCACCACTGCCATCACCTCCACCATCACTACCACCACCACCACTGCCATTACCACTAACACCACTGCCATCACCACCACCACCACGACAACCACCGCCACCACTATCATCACCACTGCCATCATCACCATCACCACCATCACCACGACCACCACTGCCACCACTACCATCACCACTGCCATCACCACCGCCATTACCATCACTACCACCACTACCACTGCCATCTCCATTACCACCACCACCACTACCATCACCACCACCATCACCATCATCACCACCACCACCACCACCACCACCACGACCACCACCACCACCATCGCTGGTATTTACAGAGTAAAGCTGTTGCTGTTGGACTTCTTGCCCTTTTCAAAGGTGACAGTGAAGTTCAGGGCCACCCTGGTCCTTCAGATGTGAGCAGCAGAGGCCTCTCCCACGGTCCTCCCAGGTCACGCCCAGCAACCTAATGCCCTGATTCTGCTTCAGTCTGACTGCCAGGACTCGGGTTTCCACCAGTGAATTCTGTTGCCCTAGAACCATGGTTGGCAAACTGCAGCTCACCAGCCACCTGCGGCTCTTTGGTCCCTTGAGTGTGGCTCTTCCACAAAATACCACGGCCTAGGAGATTCTATTTTGAAGAAGTGGTGTTAGAAGATGTTTAAGTTTAAAAAACTTGGCTCTCAAAAGAAATTTCAATCATTGTACTGTTGGTATTTGGCTCTGTTGACTAATGAGTTTGCTGACCACTGGTCTAGAAGAATGGACTCCTCCCAGCCAATCCTGGGAATAGGCCGTTTCCTCCCCATTTCCCCCCGGAGACCCTCCCAGCCAATCTTCCTGGCCGACCTGTGCCCAGGCACGGTGCTGCACCCCATGCAGCCATGAAGGACAGGCCCTGCTCCAGGTGAGCCGGCCAGCTGGCGGGAGACGGATCTCATTTAAGAACAGCTTGGTTTCAATAACACTTCGTTTTTGGAGACAGCGTTTATAATGATTCAATACGTGGACCCTGTCACCAACTGCTAGGGTTTGAAGTTTGACTCTGCCACCTCGCAGCTGTGTGGCCTTGGGCAAGTTACTTACCATCTCTGTGCCCCGGTCCCTATCCTTTTACAACAGGGAGACTGACGGTGCCTGCCCCACAGGTAAACTTAAGAGGATTGAATGAGTTAGCACAGCAACTTTCAGTAGGACTGGCACAGGGTAACACTAACGTCATTTTCCTTACAAAGCCCTTCCTAGTTATTTGGCCTCAGCAGCGAGCACTGGCCTGCGGCCCCCCCATAGGGAGCTTCTCCAGGGCTGGTGGGTAGAGGGGAGGGCACAGACCATGCAGGCCCAGGGGGAAGGTGCGGCTGGAGACAGGCCTGAGGGGACAAGTAACGTTTGTGTGCTGCAGGGCCTGAGGGGTGGGTGTCCCACGAGGTGAAGTGAAGGGTGGGGCCGTCTCTCCAGGGGGAACGCACTTCCGGTGTTGTCCAAGGGGGCCCCCTTTTCTGGAGTCTGCTATAGCACACAAGAGGCTTTGTTCCGTGTGCCAGCAGGGCGCTGGCTACGCCCCTAGTCCTGACCTCAGTGTGACCTCATGGGCTGGATTCCCACGTTTGGATGGCAGGCACCTTCCTGCAGGAGGTCCCCATGGATGCCGCCCTGAGGAAGGAGGTGCCTGTTCGTAGCCCAGGGCTCTGGGTGGGTGGGAGCTCACTGTGCGAGGCTGTGGGTCATCACTGTCTCCCTGCCCCTCCACTCACACGAACAGCCCCTGTCCTAGTGATTATTCATGGCTTTCTTCTCACCATAACGGCTCCAGAGGCTGTTTCCTTCCCGTCGGGGCAGTGGCAGAGGGGGCGGGTCTGATGACGTGGTAGGGGGTTTTTAGAAGAGCCCTGTGCCCCTTATTTTCTGTCACTCCCTTGCCTTGCCTTTCGCTGAGCTTCTGATGCACCCAAAGGTCCGAGAAGCCAGCAGGTGGAGGGGGCGGGGGTGCAGATACGTAGGGAACCTAGGAGGGGGTCAAGCCAAGAGGAGCTGGGGCCAGGCCTCCGTGCAGCAGACCTTGGTCCCTCTAGCCAGGTTCTCGGGCATCACGGTGGGAAGTAGAGGTGCGATGGGAGGGGATGCTGGTGGGAGGGCTGGGAGACAGCAGTGCAGCTGCTGCCGGAAGGAGCTGTGTGATGGCAGGCAGGTTGCCTCACCTCTCTGGGCCACCTCCACCTGGCCTTCCCCAGGCGGTCATGGTCCTAACTTCCCAGGCCTTCTTTCCAAAGCATTCAGAAGTCCTTAGAGGTGGGCAGGTCATGCCCAGGCATGAGGGAGAGTTAGGCAGCCTGACCTGCTTTGGGGGTGTCCCCTGTAGCTGGAGGAAATCCCTGGTCCCTGTGACATTCCAGCTTTCCACTCACGACCTCCCCTTCCCTGTCAGCGGGGCCCCTGTGCCTGACTGTGATGCTCTCTCTTCCAGGGGAGGAGTTCTACGAAGCCTCGCCCTATGAGCCGGTGACCTCACGCCTCTCTGACATCTTCAGGCTCGCCTCCATCTTCTCAGGTGAGCAGCGGGCTAGTGCCGGGGCCTCCCGGCTCTCGTCTGGTCCAGGGGCGGCAGGCAGTGGCCTGGGCTGGCTCGGGGCCCTGGCCTGTAGCACCGGTTAGCCCCCGACGGGCTCTGAGCATCAGACAGATAGATCCTCTGGGAACAGGAGGCAGCACGCCTGCCCCAGGCCGTGCGGCAGTAGCGCTTATGGGAACCGCCTTGCTCGAGCCGGCCAGGCAGCAGGCCTCGGATAGAAAACCTGCTGTCACTCTCCTCTTCCTCACCTGGGGGTCCCTCTTTCCAGTTTCCCAGCTCCTTTGTTCTCACTGTTCTAGCTCTTTGTGCCTCTGCTTCCTCAGCTGGGCAATGGGGAGCTACTACTAACCTTGAAGACGGGTGCGAGGTCCGAACGAGCCAGTGGTAATTAAGGGCTCAGTGTGCCGCTGGGTGAGCCTTCAGGAAGCGTTGGCCGTGGTGGTTGGCATTGGTGTCACTGCCGTCCGTTCTGCTGTGGGTTTCCCTCCCTCAGTGAGGGCTCTGCTCCTTGCACCCCACTGAGGAGCCTCTGAGGAACGGCTCTGAGCCCCATGAGGGAGAAGGACCAGGTGAAACTCCAGCTTTGCTCCCACATAGTGAGCTCCCCCTGTTCCCCCAAGGACACGTGTAGGAACCTGATGAGCTTTTTGGTCCTTTCTTCTTCTTTTCAAAATATATTTTATTGATTTTTTACAGAGAGGAAGAGAGAGGGATAGAGAGTTAGAAACATCGATGAGAGAGAATCATCGATCAGCTGCCTCCTGCATACCCTCAACTGGGGATGTGCCCGCAACCCAGGTACATGCCCTTGACCGGAATCGAACCTGGGACCTTTCAGTCCATAGGCTGATGCTCTATCCACTGACATATGCATTCCCAACAGGAGAGGTTTGGCAAAAACCGGTCTCGGCTGGTCCTTTCTTCTTGACCTTGTTGTTGTTCTGCCATCTGGGGGCCCAGTGGGCCGGGGCAGTCTGCCCCTGCTTGGGCACCGGAGGACGGGGGGTGGCTTCCCATCTTGGAACTGCTCTGTGGGGCTGGGGTGAGCTCTCCTGGAGTCTCCTGGTGCTAGAAGATGGCTAGGTGGGCTTGCTCCCTGGGATCCTGTGCCCGAACCCGTTTCCCGGCTGGTTTCGTGAAGCCTGCCGGGGTGACTTTGCTCTAAGCCAGGGTTCCTCGCCAGCACCGCTGTTGGTACTTGGGCCTGGGTAGATCGGGTGGGAGGAACCCACCCTGTGCATTGAGGATGGTGAGCAGCATCTCTGGCCTCTGCCAAGGGATGCCAGAGCACCCTTTCCCCAAGCGTGACAACCGCAAACATCTCCAGACATGGCCTGGGACACGTGCTGCCAGTTGAGAAGCAGTGCTCTAAATGGTACACCAAAGACTAGTGAGCCCCCAAGCCCTTCCTTTCAAATGGAGGACTCCCTAGGACAATGTTGCTTAAATGTTTTCTCCGTTATTAGTCCCCTACGGAGAAAAACTCATTCTCTCTAACTGGGGACATACTTAGTCTGCTTGGGCTGCCATCACAAAATAGTGTGGACTGAGCGGCTTTGGCAATATGAATGTGTTATCTTACAGCACTGGGGGCTGGAAGTTCAAGACCAAGGTTGGGCAGGGCTTGGTTTCTGGTGAGCGCTCTCTCTTTGACTTGTGATGGCCACCTTCTCACTGTGTCTCACAGGGTGGGGTGGGACAGGAGAGTAGTTAGGGTGAGAGGGAAAAAGAGAGAGAGGGGGGAGGGGTAGATCTTGTTATAAGGCCACAGTCTTCTCAGATTATAACCCCTCCCTGATAATCTCATTCAACCTTTACCGCCCCAAAGCGGTCACATTGGGGGTTACTGCTCTTTGAGGGGCACAATTTAGTCCATAGCAAGTGCCAACTCAGGCAGGGCTGAGTTTTGGAAGACCACAAACCACGGCAATGTCTGTTTTGTTTTTGCCAAACCGAGAACCAATTTTTTGTTTCCGTGAGGGTGACCCATCCTCTCCTGTTGGGAATGCTTATGTCAGGAATGGAGACAGGACATTATGCATGTGCCTGGTGAGAGAAGCCATGACACCTGTGAGAAGGCAGGCACTGGCCAAAGAGTGACCGTTTGGACGTGCCCCAGGGCCTGGCGTTGCTGAATGGCACAGAGGCTGCAAAGGAGGCTGTGCGTTGAGCTCCCTGGCTGGGCTGTCACCATCAAAGCCCCCGGTGGGGGAAGAGCAGAGGTGTGGGACTCAGCAGGTTGTTGTCTGGCTGCCTGTGGGCACTGTGGTCAGCTACAGGCCTTGCCTGTCCACATGGCTGCCCTGGGCGAGGGCTTGACTGAGGTCTCTCCCAGCACACATTCTGATTCTTACATTTTCTGGTTATTTTGGGTAGAAATCCACCTTGGACCACTCCTCTGAGACAGTGCTCAGGGGCACAGTTGTAGACGGAAGATGTCGTTAGCTTGTGGATGCCCTGGTGGGGATGGTCTGTGGGAATGCCCTGGCACACCCACTCCCCTCTCCACAGTAGCTCAGGCACCAGCTGAGTACTGCACGTGGGTGGGAGCCATTGGGTCTCACTCCAGTAAAGAAGTAGCTTCGGCTTACTCCCTGGGGGTTGAAGGTCAGACGTCCTCCTTTCGGCCCGGCCCCTGCTGCGTCCCGGGCTCACATTAAGTATCTCCTTAGCAGAAAATCTTTACGTAATGGACTTGACACTCTGTGGGACAAGGATGTTGACAAGATAAATGAGGAAATGACTAAGTCTGCAGCTCCATGAATCAGCTGCCTTCGCCCGCTGCCCTGGATACCTGGGCTCTGGGGACTGCTCCCCGCAGCAGGGCAGGGCTTCAGGGTCTGGAACGGCTCCCTCCTTACCCCCCCCCCCCCGGGGGATGCTGCTCCACCCACTGCAGCCCCAGGGCTGGTGCATGGGCGGCTCTGTGTGGGGAGACTTGGATGCATCGCTGGATGAGGTGGTCCTGACCTGGCCAGCCAGAAACCAAGCGGGCCAGGGTGGGCTCCGCAGAGAGGAGGCTGGGTGGCCCAGGTTCCAGGGCATTCTCTGCCACAAATCAACGGAAGGGCTCAGGCAGGTCACTTCTGCTCCTGACCTTGCATTTTCTTTCTGGAGAAAGAAGGTGTGAACTTAAAGCAGTGCTCCCCAGCCTTTCCCCACCGGGGCGCTCAGATAATGGCAGTGTTGTTGGCATACTGGGATGAGCAGAGCAGCTCGGAGCTCAGTCATGGCGAGTCCCGGACAGGCTGCCCTGCCAGCAGAGGGGTCTGCGTCTGGGCCCACCTGCCACTGCCTGTAGCTCGCTGGTGGGGAGGCCTGGCGATTCAAGATGCTGCACGCATGCTCTGGGATGATAGGTGGCTATATTAGGGCTGTGTGGAGCCCCTCCCACTTCCACATGCGCATATTTGGCCGTATGCTGCCCCCTGTTGGTGGAGGGCCTCAGGGACTGTGAGAAGGAGGCCGCTATATCCTCCTCACTGCCTGAGAATTCAGGGCCCTGATGCAGGGCATCCTGGGGTGTGTGTTCTCCTTCTCTCTCACCTTCTCTCTCTGCTGGGGTTCTTGGAAAGTCCTCTCTGGGATTCTGTTGGCAGAGAAAGCTGCCAGGATTACCCAACCCTCTCTGATGCCAGAGGCCCTGGGGGCAGGGCTAGCTCTTCCCTCCTCCCCGCCCAGGGCAGACACAGGCCTTGGGCTCAGTGACTGGATCCAGGATTCCCGATGTCCAGTGAGTCCCAAGTCCAAGGCCAGGGGAAAGGCAGGCTGGCTCCATCCCGAACCAGGGTGACGGTGATGTTGAGGGCATCCAGTGTCCTGCCCCAGCCTTGTAGATGAGCAAGGAGAGCCCATGGAGGAGGACTGAGATTTGTCTTCTTTCTAGCAATTCCAACTGCCCTTGGAAACGTGAACTGGCATGTTAAGTGTGCCTGGTGCGTGGGAAGAGTGTGTGGGCCTCGAGCCACGCGACGCTGGGTCTGAATCCTGATGCCTCCGCTTAGGGCTGTGAGGTCGTGGCCTCACGGTGGCTGTTCAGAGCTGGATTGCCTATGTTTGTCCATTGGAAGGGTGGCACCTGCTCACAGGGCTGGTAAGGAGGATTCTGTGAGAATGGATGCAGGGAGAGGGACGGTGAGTCATACTCTCTCTGCTAAGGATGTTCCGTCCAGGCCGGGTGCCTTCTGGAGGGGACTCAGGGGTGAAGGAGCTGACGTTGGGAGTCCCTCTGTCCCTGAGTCCCTCTGTCTGTGACCTTGGGAATACTGGATCACAGCTGGTTTCTTTCATCTGGGAGGCAGGAGAGGCTGGAATACGGTGGGGAGGAGAAAAAGGCTTCTCAGGGCAAGAAGAGGTTGTCCAGGCAAAGAGAAGTCACGGAGGGGCCATGTGGGGAGTGAGGAGAGCAGAGATGCCCTGTCCACCCGGAGGCCTTCCCGGTGAGGATGAAGGGCCCGGGCAGGCCAGGCAGTGGTTTTCTTCCCAACCACGGCCATGCCTAAGGGACGGGAGGAGTGACAGGCAGGTGGCCGGCTGGGCTGTCAGCAGGCGCTGCCTCTGCATTTTTGGTAAGGGGCGGGCCTCTGCGCTGCATGTGAGCTTTTCCAGATGCGTGGGCACGGAGCATGTTTATGCAAACATGTCCTTTCCTTTCTGTAGCTGGGAGGGAGCTCATAGATCACCTAGGCTTACCCCTGCCCCTGACAGAAAAGGAAACTGAGGCCCCGAGAGAAGGTACAGAGATGGAGGTTCAAATCCTGGCTCTGCCCTGCCCGGCATGTACCTGCACAGGTGCCTCACCTCGAAGCCCTGTTGCCTCTTGCAGGACACGGGCAGAGAGGACAGCCTGCCCTCCAGTGTTTGTGAGACTAAGTGAGTACTCGGGGTGCTGGCCGGTGCCTGGCACACTGCACTGAGCTGCCCCGTGAAGACCCCCTGCAGAGGGATCTCCCAAGCCAGTGGTTGGCAAACTGCAGCTT